ATTTTTTTAAAAATTTACTCAGAAAAATTATTTCTTTCTATATTTGCCATTCCGAACTTCGAAAAGATGTTTTATACCAGCATAGAATTTTTCTCTAGAGCTTGGTCTTATATCGTTTTCATGACAATATTTTCTATATTCTTCATATAAAGCCTTTTTTTCATACATTTCATAAGGACAATCTAACCAGAATAGCGCATATCCGTTATTTTGCTCCCATCCGCTTAAAACTCTTTTTGTCTCTTTGTTTCTGACTTCAAATGACTCACAACAGTGAATTTCATATTTCTCATCTAACAAACAAGTTTCCCAACGGTCTTCTCCAACAAACTCAGCGTACATTTCAAATAAAATAAAAAAATATTTTTTTTAAATTTACTCAGAAAAATTTTTCTTTGTATATACGCCGTTCTGTACATCCAAAAGATTTTTGACATTTGCCAAGAATGTTCGTTTAGACGCTGCCATATAACCATACTCTTGACAATACTGTTTATATTCATCGTACAATGACCTTTCATCTAATGACACAAAGTCAGTTTCATCTATAAACAGTTCATATACACTCTTGTTTGCTTCTAACAATGTTTGTCTTTCTTCGGTATGTGGAATTTGTCTTGGATTGAACTTTGAAATATCTAATGTCATGAAATATGAGAACAAGTGGTTGTAAAAGTTAGGTGTCAAAGTTTCTGCTAAGTCGTCAAAATATTCTGTATCTTGCATATGAGAATCTGACGTTCTGACAACTACATATCTTCTGTCAGAACTTTCTAACTTCATCGGAACAACATTGTTTGAAACCATGATGAAATTTGCAACATTTTCACAAACTCTTTGGTCTTTATATTTTCTTTCAACAACTCCAACTTTGTCTGTTATAAGACTCTTCAAAGCATCTGAGTTTAAAACCTTTGTTGTATCTATACTTTGAAGTTCGTTACATACTATAAGTTTCATATTCTCTATTGAAGAGTTAAATTTACCGCAGATGTTTTCTAAGTTTGTCATATTAGGGTTCGAATAGCCCTCTAACAGTTTGCACAAAATATCTGTAAAGAATGTGTTCTTACCAGTTCCTTGTTTTCCAATTATAATGAGAGCAGTTTCATTTTTAGCACTTGGATATTGTAAGATGTTTGCAAACCAACATAAGATATACTCATAGACTCTTTCGTTTCCATTGCATATAATTTCTTTGACATGGTCTAACCAAGCTTCTATAACATTTTCTTTCCATTCTACTTGTTCGTATTTATATCCAGTGAAGATAGAATAGAAGTTTGGAGATGGTGTATAGAACTTTATACCACGAACTGAAAAATCTTCTAACTTTGACAATAAGATATCCCAAGCATCTAACATCTTCATACCAACTTGTACGACTTTTATTTTCTTAAGTTTCTGTCTACATTCTTGTTCTGAAACTATTGTTGCTCTTGGTTTGTTAAAGACAACATCCCATTCTTTCATGACATAACATTCTGGGGCAGAGTCGACATAAATAACTAAACGTTTCAAATTCTCGACTGCTTTGTTATAGTCTCTAAATGGACACATATTTCTGAACGCTTGGAAGTCATAAAAATCTGAAACGTCTATTCTGTACATTTTTATAAAAATAAAAAAAAATATTTTTTTTATTCTTGACTTTGTTGTTGCATTTGTTGCATTTGTTCCATTTGTTGTTCTTGAGCTATTTGTTGTTGAAGTTGTTCTTGTAGTACAATACTTTCACCAGTTGCATCTTCCAATTCGAAACTTTCTGCCGTCATTGACAAATACATAGGACATAAAAGTTTTACAGGAACAAAGTTTGCGTCGACTAAGGTTAAGTTTATGTTTGCTAAAGTGTTTGAGTTTACTAAAGCTGAAAACTCTGCATTCGAATGAACAATAGGCAAACCAGCAGAGAAAGTGTTGTTTATACGCATGAGTATCTTTTGGTCATAGTAGTTTCTGTCAACATTCGAATAGCACTTTGAACCTAAGTTTGAAACAAATATATAAATAGGTGTGCTTAATGTCAATGGAATAGACATTCCTTGTATGACACCTTTTCCTGTTATAGGAAATTGTTGGTAGTAAAAACCAGATATAAGTTTTGTATTATAGCTCATATCGTTTATAGTAAACTCAGTCGGACATCCAAACATAATGAAACCTGCTCTAGTTGCAGCACATGTTACATCCGTCCTTAAAGTATTAAATAAGTCAACAAAACCTGTTGGTGGTATATCTGAGTAAGTATCTTCAAAGAAGTATTTTTTACCATTCACAACAACAAAGTCTTCTGTGTCAAAAGAGCAAAACATTTAGTCGTCATTGTGTTTAAAGTTAGTTTACAATATCGTCCTTGAGGACTTTGTAAGTTTGTTGTTATAGAATTATATGACTCAGGGTTTTTTAGTCGTAATAGTATAAACCACTATGTCTTCTGCCATTTACTTAGCAACTAAATTTTAATGAAATGTTGTGGTCGTCAAATATTTTTATAACGTCTGGGAAATATATTTTAAGTTCAACGTTTCACCTCCTTTCATAACGTATATCTTGTCAATGACATTATATGAAACACCACAGCAAGCAATGTCGGGTTCTATTTCTTTGATGTTTATATCGTCTGCCTCTGTCAAAAGTTTCAATAGTTCTTTCAAAACTTCATGAGGTGCGATGACATAGGAGCTCACCTTTACAGGGTTGTGTTCGACCAAGTTTAACATTAGACCTAAAGCTTGACAAATCTTCTCCTGAGTTTTAAGTTTGTCTTTAAGTTGTTGGTAGTCATTTCGAATATCTGCAACAGAACTTAAGTCTCTGCTAACTTCAGGGTATGTTGGTTGTTCTTTTACAGGAACTATTGTTATACCATCTTGGTCTTCGTATGGTTTCCCCACTTCAACATCTCTTTCTTTGACATTGACAACAACACTTTGACTGTTTGTTTGAGTTGGTGAATTTAACTTCACATCTGCCACCGCCATTAAACCTTTTGAAACACTCACGCTTCTATTTTTCGGAAATGACATTTTACTTAGAATAAAAAGATGGACGTATTCGAGTATCTCTTCGAATTGAAGCAGAACAAAGTTTACACACACAAACAATACAAGTTCATTGACAGAATAGTTCTTTACACAAACAATGGAAAATGTTATAGAATAGCAGTCTTTGCTGAACCAAAATATTTTCATAAAGCAAAGAAAGTTGGTATAACCGAGATGGTGAAAGTTCTTGAAGCAGACAAAAATATAACAACAAAACTTACAGATATTTCTAAAGGTAAGTTTATAATACAATTTTATGTCAAAACTGGCGTACTGTCAATATTTGACGGAGAGAAGTCAGTTCAAGAACAACTTACTGACCTGCTGCCAAAATCTGCTCGATGGAAGCTGTCGTTATGCCAATCTGAGGAGCCCCAGCAGGTTTCATCGAACGAATCTTCAAAAGAGCATCTTCCGTGAAAAGTGCTATTGGTTTTGTAAACTTCTTTGCTCTCAGTTCATCTGGACCGTCTCTGTCACCAGTATATTGTATTTGTACAGTACCAACAGTTGAAATACCACCCATAAAGTCTTCTGAGTCAGCAAATGGAATGCCAAGCCAAAAGTTTGAACGGTCTCCATTTGTATATTGAGTTTTTTGACCTCCTGTATGAGTCCATACTTTCACATATGGCATAATAGAACTTTGCATTTCAGGGTTAATGGTTGTTGTGAAGTTGTTGTTAAAGTTCATAGCATCTAATGTCAAGTTGTATGACCTCATATCCTCAACTGTAGAATATTCTTCTCTTGGATAGTATTTGCCATCTATGTTTATATGATATTTAATACCAGGGTTGTAGAAGCAAGAATAGTCATTTATAGTTCGTCTGAACAGTACAAACATAGTATCTGCATGTTTCATTGCAGTTGTTAAGGCAATATCTGTTCTTGCACCTGGGTCAGCACTTTGGTTTCCAACTTCACCTGCAAAGTCTTTGACAGATATTTGGTGTATAGGGAACATAAGTGGAACTGCAATATATTTGGCAGCTAAAGCATTTGAAATATCTGGGTCCAACATATAGACTGCAAGTCTGCTTTCTATTCTCTTGCATTCAAACTTTTCGCATGTAAACTTAACTGGGTCCCAAGCAGTTCCAGCAGCATTGAAATAATAGTTTACTTCAGTGTTGAGGTTTGAGAAACCAAAGTCTAAGTCAACTTTGTCTTTGCAAAAGTCGGCGAATGACATTTTATTTGTTCCCACTACTTCTGTAATAGTGAATGGGTCTTGTGTTGGTGCAATGACTAAGTTATTTTTGCTTGGAGTAAGTTCAATAGAAATTTTTCCTGCCCAGTTTGGCAAGTATCTTAAAAACCTGAAGATGAGGAAAGATGACAAAGGAACTCTAAGTTTCAGTTTTACTTTAGTGACAGCATTTCCATCTGAACCAGAAAGGTTAACATAAACTCCTGGAACGTTAGGGTCAAGTCTTCTTATTTTCTCAATAGTTGCATACTGGTCTGTTTGTTCTCTAGCTTGTGGTTGTACTGAGTTTCTCAAAGCGAACCATTCATAGTTTGCCCATGTTACTGTTTGAACTAAGTCAGAGTTAGAATATATCTTATATCCCATGAAAACTTCTGGAGCATATTGGTATCCGACATAGAAAATTCCATTGCAACCTTTCTTGTCAGACAACTTGGCAGAAGGTTTTATTTCAATGTCTTGTTCCACGTATAAGAATGAGTTGTCAATAGAAATAATATGAAACCTGTCGCAAGCAATATCTACTGTTGTTGAAGAACCTTCTCCAAACTCACCTACGTTTCCATAAGAAACAGCAGTTGTATATTCGTAAGTTCCAGGAACTATTTCTGACCTTCTAATGGCATTGTCGCATTCGTTATACCATTCGGAAACATTTCCATTCATAGCATCCAAAACTGTTGGCGTTATATTCTGAGCGGCGTACATTTCATATGAGTAAAAATATAGAATAGTTGGATTTATATGTCATAATAGAACCCACGTGGACCAAGCTTTACTTTCTTCCTGACTGAGTTTTTAACTCTTCTTTTTCCTTCATTGCCCTCTGCTTGAAGTTGTTGCATCTTTGCATTATGTTCATCTAGTATGTTGCAAATTTCCCATGTCCTTTTTGCCTTTTGGCTCTGGTCGCCCATCTCAGGTAACCTATATCCTAGAAAGATTTTGTCATAGTTTGTATTTGAGTCGTCGCTTATTGTTTGCATGACTCTGTCCTGAGTTTCTGGTTCAAGCTCTTCAAACAGTGCCTGTCCATATGGAATATGCTCGTTTCCAAATATATGTTTTTGTAGCCATTCTGGTTTTCTTTCCATGTTACCAACAATATCTTTTGTGAATGGGAAAGCTTTTACCCAATCTTTCAGTCTTGCGTCGTTTATTTCTGTAGTTGGTTTTATTTTGTCAAGGAACATGTTTTTCAATACTAACATTTCATTTGGTACTGTCCATTTGAGTTTTCTTAAATATTCATCCCTTCTCAGTTCATTGTCTGCAAAGTAAGTTTTTATGACATTTTGCAAACTTTCGTTTGCAAGGTCATGTACAATAGGTTCTCTTCCTTCGCTCTCCCTAACTTTCTTTCTAAACTCTTCACCAAATATACCATCTCTATGGTTCTGTGTAGTTCTTTGAGATAAATGTTCTAGAACGTCAGGTGTTATATTTCCATCAGCCATGTTCATTTCATACTGGTTCAAAATATCTGCATCTTTCATATCTTTCAATGGCATTAAAGCCGCGCTGAAAATACCAGCTACATCTGGTTCACCATTCACTTCCATTGCGTCTACAACTTCTTGGAATTGAGGTTGTAAGTTTATGAACCACCTATCTGGATTAGCTTTATGACCCCATCTCATTGTAGTTCCATCGTCTGCAGAAACAAAAGTAGGTTTGTTTCCATCTTGGCTAGGTTCTGAATGAACTTTAAACAATGTTTCATTTCTATATGTTTTCTTGAAATTTAACCTTTTATTTTCACCGAGTTCATCCGAAGATTGAACGTTAAATGCTCGTAAGTAAAAAGGGTTGTTGTATTTGTGTACATTTTTTTTCAGTTCTTCCATTCTATGCTGAATATTTTCATCTGGTGTTGGAGTCTTTTGTATGTCGGCAAACATTTTTCGATATTCTTCTACTATGTCAGCCGAATTTTTTTTAGACTCTTGGAAATATTCCATATTCTCCGCATACTCTTGTTGAGGGTCAAGATTTTTCGGCTGTTCCAAATCTTCATCTAGTTCTGTGAGGTTAGTTTCCAAAGGAGCGACTTGTTCGTTTCCTTCAGGCTCTTCTAGCTGTTGTTGCTGAACTATTTCTTCCATGTCTGGTTGTATCTGAACTTCTTCCTGTGGAGTTTCTTGTACCTCATCTGCTGGCATTTCATATATTCCGAGACCGTTTTTAACAAGTTCCCTATTTAAGTCATCTGCATTCATAAGCCTTTCTTCTTTCGTTCCGTCTCTATTTTTTACGCGTTTCATGAAGATAGTTGAATCATCATTTATCTCTGACATAAAATATCTCGGAGTAAATTCAGTCATGTCATTTGGACGATATGCTATTAAATCATATCCCTTAGCGAGCTTGTATTTTCCAGGTTTGAAATTATATCCGATTTTATGCTGAGCCATAAAGCTAAATAGGTTCGGGTCAGTATTTTCTTCCTTGAACTTTCTAATAGCTTCTTTATATCTGTCACTAAAGTCAATAGTATCTGGGTAACCATATTTTTCCTTTAGCATTTTTAAGAATTCTTGGTTTCCTTGTTCTCTACTTCTTTTATGTCCTTGCTCTGTTTGTGGTTGTGGTGCAGTGTTTTGAACTGTTGGTTGTGGTGCAGTGTTTTGAACTGTTGGTTGTGGTGCAGTGTTTTGAACTGTTGGTTGTTGTGCAGTGTTTTGAACTGTTGGTTGTTGTGTTGGTTGTTGTGTTGGTTTTGGTGCATGCCTGTGTCTGTGTCCATGTGACGATGTAAATGTTTTAGGTAGTCCTGGTGCAGGTGCTTCTCTTGGAGGGTTTGGTGGTATATAAGTTCCACCAACTGGCACATATGTTCCATCTGCAGCGTAATGTCCTACCTGACTTTTCGTTCTTAAGAAAGCATTTACTAGGTCTGTTTTGGTCTGTTGTAACTCTTTTTCTTGACTTTTCACAACAGTTGCTCTAACGGCGTCATAGGCACTTTGAACTGCCTGTCTTGTTGCTGCATCTGTTATTTTCGTCATATTTTGTGCTACTTCTCTTAACTCGTTGTCGAAACCTTCAGACTTCAGTTTCTTTCCAGATGAGAAGTCGTTCACTTGTTTCACCTTACTATGAAGAGCTTCGAAGGCGTTCTTAAAGTCAGCATTCATTAAAGCTTCATTTGAACTGTCTTCATCCGCTTGTATTTTTGTCCTTATTGACCCTATAAGTTGGGCTGCTTTAGCGTTGGCTTGGGCATCTAACCAGTCATTGTTAGCTTTTATATATTCTGCGCTTTTCATTGCCTTTTGCATAGCCGCGTCGTTATTTTTACTTTCTTGTGCTAAGTTTTCATACTGTACGGTTTGGTTTTGCAACTGTAAAAGTTTTTCTGCCTTTACATTTGCTTCAACTTCTTTTTTATACTCATCGCTATCCATATATGTCTTCAGGGCTTTTTGTTTTATCTCTTCATCTTTCAGTACTTTATATTGAGTAGTATGGTTTTTCAAATTTATAACATCTTGTTCCATTTTTGCTACTTCTGCTGCTTTTTCTGACACTTTTTTTGCATATTCCTCTGTACTTAGTTCTTTCAGTTGTTCTTCTTTCTTCTTTTTCTCTACGTTTAACTCATTGAGTTTCTTTGTGTGTCTGTCATATTCTAGTTTCTTTTCGTTTTCACTTATTTGTTTCTGTATGTCTATGTTTGACTTTTTGACATCTGTTATTTGATTTTTGAGTGAACTCAAATTCATTTGACTTTGAGGGTTATAAGCTGTTCCGTCTGCAGCTCCACCATAGCCTGCCATTTTCGCTAAAAGTGCCGCTCTTAAACCTCCACTCTGTGCACCAACAACTCGGTTTAAAAGCATAGGATTGCTTGACATTTGTTGCAACATAGTGGGGTCATTCAGCATTTGTTGTTGCAACTGTTGTTGTGGTGTCAGTTTTACTATTGGATGTTTCAATGCTCTCTTCCTCTTACGTATATTCTTACGTAGCTTACGTGGCATTTTAAGTGAAGTTAAAAAGCGGTTTTTGACAGATGGAACACATACTTTTTCAGTAAGGACATATGGGGTAGAAATGAGGGTAGAAAACGGGGTAGATATACCCTTCTACCCTAAAATATATTTTTATTGAATTCTGAGTAAAATGACTCGGTCAAAGTGTTGTCAGTTTTGTAAAATAACCGTCTTATCTCCGTGCCTATGACGAAGAAATCTTGACAAAACATTTACGATGAAATCTTGACAAAACATTTACGAAGAAGTCTTGACAAAACATTTACGAAGAAGTCTTGACAAAACATTTACGATGAAGTCTTGACAAAACATTTACGAAGAAGTCTTGACAAAACATTTACGAAGAAGTCTTGACAAAACATTTACGAAGAAGTCTTGACAAAACATTTACGAAGAAGTCTTGACAAAACATTTACGATGAAGTCTTGACAAAACATTTACGATGAAGTCTTGACAAAACATTTACGAAGAAGTCTTGACAAAACATTTACGAAGAAGTCTTGACAAAACATTTACGATGAAGTCTTGACAAAACATTTACGAAGAAGTCTTGACAAAACATTTACGAAGAAGTCTTGACAAAACATGAAAACATATATAATTTGTGAAAAGCGACACATTATATATAATGTTTTCGACCCAGAAGACTAACAATTTTTCCGAATAAAAACTTCATTTTTTACTAAACATCTTCGGGGGCTAGAAGGCACGAAGTGCCTGGAAGCCATCCCCCAAGAAAAAAAAAACTTCATTATACTCATTCATCCTCAGGGCTAGAAGGCACGAAGTGCCTGGAAGCCCCGCTTCCTTTTTTTTTTTTTTTTTTTTTTTTTTATTTCATTTTTCTCATTCAATTTAGAATTTACAAATGTCAAAAAATTGAGAGCTGTCACTTTTGATGAATTTCTGTTTCTTACAAAACAAATCAAGAAATACGAGAAGAACGCAGAGAAATAATCAACAAGAAGAAATTTACGAAAAAGGTTAAAAAGAAACCAATAAAATATGATTATTCCGATTATGATATATCTGATGACGAATTAATCGAAAGAGCTATTATGAGAAGGAGATCAGAAGATTCAGATTCGAAGGAAGATACAGTTCAGGAAGTATATAATGACTGTTATATTGTAATGAGTCGAATTCGTCAAAATGTTGAACAATATTTAGTAAAAGACTATGATAATGGCATAAGTCAGTGGAAAACTATAGATGAATTAAAAGTTATGAAAGATTACAAAAATATTATTTCTCTTTTCAAGAAAACTGAAATAAAAGAAACAAATCTCCGCGAAGAAGAAAAACCAGTAGCTATATCGTTCAGACCTGACAAGTATTTACTGTACAGAGTATTCTATGACTATTTATACTGGGAAAAAGTTTCAGATGATGAATTTGAAAATTTTGTATCAAATATGAAGAGTTTTACATATAAAAATGATAAAATTACACTCAATTTACAAGAATCCAATGAATTATTGCAGAAATTCGTGAATATAAACAATGAAAATCGTTCGGGAATTTTATATGACTCTTTATCAACGCAGAAATATAATTTAGTTACTCGATTCTTAAATACTGCAACAGATAATGGTTGTGGACCGTTTTTGGTTGTCACAACTAAAGAAAATTATTCAAATTGGTATAATTTTTTAGAAAATACAAAATTAGTAACAATTGATTATAGTTGTGATCCTTTAGAACGAAATATAATTCGAGACTACTGCTTTAATAGCTTAGATGAGTTCGGATCCCCTTATCAAAACAAATTTTCTTTTAATGTCATAGTTACAACATATGGAATACTGAAATATGATCTTAATTCATTTGAAAATATTCCATTCCATACAGTTATCTATGACGAACCTACTTTTTCCGAAGAAATTGATTTTCATATTTTTCCAAGAGCATTTTTCTGTTTAAAGTATCTAGAGCTTGAGAAAAATAGCACATACAAGAGTTTGTTATCATTGGTTAATGCTCCTTCTGAAATTTCTTCCGTAGATTTTTCAAATAATTTTGTTATTTCAATAAAACAAACAGTAGCCAACAGAAATCATAATGAAATAGTTAGTCTTAAGCCAACAAACAGTCAGGATGACTGCTTGAGAATGCATCATTTAGATTTACTCCAAAAAATCACAAATCGATACTCTTCTAAATCCCCAGAGGCCATTGAGCAAGAAATATTGAATAACCCAACACAGTTACTGGGATTGAACGAGTATTATTCAAAAATCTTTAAATCAAATGATGATTTTCTTTTGAAGCTTTCCTCTAAGTTCCAATTTATCAAATACCTTGTTAAAACTGTTTACTCAGCCCAGTCAATACTAATTGTTACCAGTAATTATCAAAATATGCAGAGTTTATACTTATTATTCAATCAATATTCGAAATGTTTCAAAATTAATGGGAAAACAAATATTGAAAAACTGCAGAAGACATTTAAAGATCAAAGACAGGAAAGATTCATCATTATTTATCAATATTCCAGCCAAGAAATAGATTTATCTTTTGTTTCAGTAATAATTTATTTAGAACCACAAGAAAATTATCAGGATATCAATATAAAGGTCAATATTTACAATAGCCTTGAAGAAATTCATATTTATCATTTAATTTGCACAGATTTTGAGAAAACTCAACTTTTGGAACAAATTAAAAGAAGAGAAGAAAAAGAAAACTATTTAAGTGTAAGAACAGTATCGTATTTACTTGAAAATACCCAAAATCTCTCTTTTCCTTTGATTGAATCGATTTCTGACTATAATTCATCAAATCCTGATGATATAAAGTGCAGAGAATTGAAATATGATGAATCAGAAACTGATTTCATAGCAAGAATGACATTTAACGTTCAAACTGACGAAGATGAAAAATTAATGTCAGTTGATGAGTCATATTTATGCGTTTATTTCCTGGATTTGTTGGGATTTGGTCAATGGAAACAAATTGGTCTCTCTATTAAGGCTTCTGTTCCTCAAGTTAAAGATTTATGCATGTCTTTGATAAATTATTGCCTTTCGAAGCTTTCGGATACACAAATATCCGATTTACCACATTTGTTAGCGGTTTTATCCAAACTTTCACCAACTTTTTCCCTTGAAAATATTCATACAATTGAAATTGACTTCAGATTGCTAAGATTAGCAAGACATGCCTTCAATAGTTTATGGATAAACGAATACCGTTTCCTTAAAACCATAGAATTGAGGCTTTGCGCAAGAAAATTTTTGAAAAGGCAAATCTCGGTTCAATTTGATATCAAAAAGGATCTTGAGGATTTCGGAAAATTCGGAAAAGTTGATAGGAATGTTTACACTCCTCTTTCTGACTTCAAAATCGCAAATTTCGAACCATCTCAAATTGAAATTGCTGCAATGGGCGATTTGATATACGGGAACCACATAGATCCATTATCACCGATGCAACAATACCTAGAAGAGATGATGAACCGACAATTTTTAGAAAATGATGAAATTATTTTCCATATGAAATGGAATTCGTCAGAATTATACAAGCTTTTCACAGCTCTGAAGAATTTCCCTAACGATGAAAACTTTTATTCCAAGGCTGCAATTGTTACAAAAACAAAAGCTGATATCAAAAACAAAATAGATGAAATAATGGCCAAAAGTTCTAAAAACAAAGATAAAGAGGCCATTATTAAGTATCAAAACCTGTTTTCTTTGATGAAAGAATTTATTAAAGCAAATCCTCCCCAAAATAATATAATTGAATGGACAAACTCTACAATTAGCAAGTTCTTTGAACTTGTTATGATATTCGGACTCAACAGATTTAGAGAAATCCTTCTTGATTCAAGATTTAAATTTGTAAATCTTCTTTCTCAGGAAGAGATCCTTTTATTAAGAAAGAGATCTAGAAATATCCCTAATTCAACTCACTCTTCCTTCTTAACAGTCCGTGGAATCATGGATTTCTTAGGATTGAAAAATTAGTTCACCAATAATATTTTACTTTGTTGTTTATGTTATTTTATCAATAAATGTGTTTATATGTTTTGTACTTTTAATCAAGATAATAATCATTTTCACAAATTGAAACACAAAAATGAAATTGTCCTCTTATAGGTTGTATTCTTGATATAATTCATATATTTGAACATACTCATCTATTTCAAAACAATTTCTACGGCGTTATAAGCAGATTCATATTAGGTATCGAATTAACTAGAAGAGGAACATTCAAAATACTTCATAGATGGATATGAAGTATCGACAATTTATTACCTGGTGCATTAAATTAGCTGTTATAGCTCAAGTAAGTGAAGATACATTATTCGTATAGCTAATGAATTTATCAAGACATAACACACAAGACATATCGTCATTTGTCACAGTTTTTATATTTGAAAAAAAACGTAATCTAAAATATGAATTTATGATTTTTTTTTTGTTTATGCATTATCAGGTTCGATATCATTATCACTATCGCTTTTGCCACCTTTCTTCTTTGATACACACAAAACAATACCTAATATTATGCAACCAATAATAGCAAGGACAGCAATAGTTATTAAAACAGCTACCAAAATTTTCATGTTCTTCAATGCTTGGATGAGATTGTAACTATCAGGAATCTTGTTGTTACAATCAGTTCTTATGATGTTCTTCTGGAATGCAAGCAAATAAGGATATTTATCAGTTACAAAGATTTGTTTTGCATTAACTGAAGAAGTCTGGAAAACATCACCTTCATAACAAAGATTGTATAAGTACTGACAATTTTCAAATGCTCGTAATTCGACACTCTTGACAGAAGAAGGGATAATTACTGTTGTTGTTCCTAATTCGGTTGGATATTCAAGTTCTTCATCTTTGATTGCATTTGAGTTAATGGAGAGCTTGCCAATCACTTCGACAGATGATGGAATTTTGTATTCTTGAGGAAGTTTCCCAAATGTCAAAACCAATTTCTTTGTTGGTTTATAGATTAATGCTTGACCATCGACCATAAATTTATTAGTTTGAGGATTTACAATCTCTATTTTAAGATTGTTAGAATACTGAAATGCATCTGTTTCTATGGAAATAACAGAATCATAAATCTTAAAATGAGAAATTGATGTGTTGTATAATATTTTAGAGTTGATTTTTGTTACACTAGAAGAAAATTCGCATGATGACAAATCTTTACAACTATGGAATGCGTAACTATCTACTTTCTTGCATGAGTTTGGAATAGTAATTGATTTTAATCCAGCACTTGCAAATGCAGATTCTCCAATTGAAACTAATTGCTCGGAAAGAACAACTGAAGACAATTCACAGCAGCTTTGAAAAGCATAATAAGGTATAATTTCTACCTTTGATAAGTTTATTTCTTTGAGTTTGATGCATCCAAAGAAGCAATATTCACCAATTAATGAACATGAAGATAAATCAATTTCTTTGAGTTTGACACATCCAGCAAAACAAAAAATTCCAAGTGAATATACAGGCGACAAGAATTTGATTGATTTAAGAGATATACAATTATAAAAAGTAAAAGATCCGAATGAAATCTGAGCGTTTGTTTCTAATATAAATTTTACAAGGGAATAACAAAAATAGAAGGCATAATTTGAAACTTCAATATAGTGATTTAAATTTATTTTCTTTAATTTTGTTGAAAACGCAAATGCATGTTGATATATTTGTGTTACATCATTTGGTATTGTATATTCTTCGATGTTTGTTGCTGGTGGAAATGCAATTAAAGTGCTTTTATCTTTAGACATCAAAATACCATCGTTATAAACCATGTTTTCGTTATTTTCACACACAAATGATGCCAAATTAGAGCAATTAAAGAAAGGATATAATGAAAATTGATCTACATTTTGGCCGATTATTATCTTTTCAAGCTTATTGCACTCAATGAAGCATTTTTCATCAAAATAAATGTTTGTGTTGATTGTAAGAGATTTCATTTGACATTTTGCAAATGCATGTTTATAAATTGTATTTATTTTATTAAGATCAAAATTGTCTGGCAAATGACATCCTTCAAAAGCATTATAGCCAATAATATTTATATTATCAGTGAATTGAATTGTTTTCAGGTTAGTGCAGTTCATAAAGCAGTAAGGGCCAATTTCCTGAAGCAAACTTATGGAATCAAAAGATACAGCTTTGAGACCTAAACATCCTGCGAACGATCCTTCAGCGAGATTTTGGCAGCTAATTGTAATCGATTCAATTTTTGAACATCCTAAGAAAGCATATTGTTCAAGTGTATATTTTGAATATAGTTTTTCAATTTTGAGAGATGTACAATATGAAAATGAGTTCGATCCAAATGCAATGTGAGTAGTTGTTGACAATTTACTTATATCTTTCAAGGATGAACAAAACGAAAATGAATATTCCTTAATCTTTGAAACATGATCAAATGGGAACGAAGAAAGTTTAATGCAACAATAAAATGCATATGCTCCAATTTCTTCAATCCCTGATCCTTCAACTTTGACTAAATTTGAACAATTTGAAAATGTAGCTTTTGGAATTACTTTAACTTCTAAAGGAAGTTTGATTGATTCAAGACTTACACATGACCCAAATATATTGCTTCCATGAGAATTGAACTTGACATTTTCTGGGATGATAATTGATTTCAAATAAATGCAATTTTTGCAAATATATTCAGGAATTAATAGTTCTGCAGATCTCTCAGCAAATGTAAGTTTTTCAAGTTTGGATTGATAAAACGCATACCCACCAAGAGTAGTAATTGTTGCATCTATTATAAATTCCTTCAAACCTGTATATTCAAATGCATTTGAATCAATTGTATCAATAGAAGCACCTCCTTTATCAAAATTTTTGCGAGAAAGACAACCAGAGAATGCATAAGAATTAATTTTAGTTATCTTACTTCCAAGTTTAACAGAAGTAAGTGATAAACAGTCTTGAAAAGCACTCATTGCAACTTCAATGACTTTATCATTAAAAGTAAAACTTTCTACACCACTTTCGCTAAAGGCATATTCTGATATATTAACAGCTGCTGCCAAATTTATCTTTGTAAGCCGAGAACATGATGAAAAGGCTTCTACACCAACAACTTCTACACTTTCTAGATTAATATCCTTCAAACCAGAATTCTTGAAAGCTGACTGTCCAATTGTCTTTATATTTGAACTCAATTTTACTGTTTCTAGATGTATGCAGTTTTCAAAGCAATCATTTGGTATTGTGTAAACGTTTTTAGCTTCAATATCAACATTGGTAATCATAGGTAATCCGGAAATAGAGAGAATTGATGTAATGTTATCCCCTTTGAAGATTATTTTGCTGATGTTGTTTTTGATTATCAATATTTTTGTAGATGGATCTTCAATATCTTTTTGCTCGGTGATTGTGATCTCTTTTCCATTGATTTGCGGTGCTCGGTTTATAAATACTCTATTTTGAAGCAATGATTGAATAACAGTAAGTTGGCAGAGCATTAAAAAATTTGAATAAAAAGCAATAATATTTGAAAGGATCTAACAATTGAATTAACAAAGAAAAATCGCAATTCAATCTTTTCTTCTGAGGAAAACAAAATGACAATCTGAGTACAATAATGCAAATTAGGACAAAATAAAATGAGATGACTTTTTCAATAGGAGCTAAGCCACATAATTATTGTTATATGATACCAGTAGAAATCATTTTATTTTGGAAGATATTGTCTAACAATGCATAATAGATTATCAATCATCGATTATAATATACGAAAACACTTCATTAAAAGAAGAACTAAATGAATTTTGGTATATGATATCTGCACACACCATTTCTGAAGTAAAATATATAATAAAGAAAGTATAATAAACATCAGGTTTCAAAACATGACGTTTTTTCAATGTTTCGCTTCAAATTAAAGGAGACTCAAAACAAAAAACCATTCAACCACATTCATCATTAATCGGAAATTGAATGATCAATTAGTTCAGTTTGAACTTCAAACAGATAAACATCATTCAATTTTACCATTTATTTTTCAGTTCAGAATAAGCATATGCAATTTTAAGCAGTTATTTTCTCTATTAAGTCAACTTTTTTGAATTGGTCATGTTATGGAAGCATTGATTTACGAATTGAATGTATTTTAAGACTCATAATGAAACTTTTCACTCAATTCATGTATTCTTCTCCAGCATATCTTAGTTTACATGAGTTCTGTAGTTCTCGAAGATTCTTTAATATCAAATCGAGCGAAATTTTCAAATAATGAAATATTTATAAAACAATTGCAAATGAAAATTGACTATTTGCAAAAATAACAACAAAAAAGAACAATAAAAGATGAAATTATTTTGGTGACTTAGAATAACTGCCTTTAACTGGGCTTTGGGTAGGCGATATAGAAATTGAACTATATGATCGAGGATTTACATACTTTGCGTATAATTCATTTAGTTCTTCTTTTAATGACGTGTTTTCTTGAGTAATAGTATTAATAGCTTCTTTAGCGGCTTTTTCAGAGTTTTCTCTTTCTTCTCTTAACTGCCTGATCATTTCTTGAATTTGCCTCAAATTTTTATAAATGCTGTTGGGATCGAAATCTTGTAATTCTGGTGTAATGTTTTGATTTTGCTGACCATCTCCAGTTCCATTTCGTTTGTAACATTCGACTAGTTTCTGTCTCAATTCCATAATTTCTTTTGTTTCTTCAACATGCAACAATAAAAGTTGCTCAACAATTTGTTTAAGAATATATTCATTGGCTGTCATACTGCTTTGGTCCCATTCTATGGCATCAAGCTGTGCTTTAATATCTTCCATATTTTTAAACGGTCACTTTTGGGAGTCTTCTTTCATAAATCTCGAATTTCTAAATGTTCTAATGGAATTTATGAATCCAAACTTTGAAATAAGGCATTAAATGCTATTAGGATGTATTGACGGCTCTAGCCAAAGACAATACAAAGTTATTAATGCCCAATATAGCGAGATATGCTCATCTTTATATTAATCCTTTTCCTTTCTTCTTACATTATCTTTTTCACATTACATTTCTATTGTCCCTTTTATTTGTTGGTTTCTTTTTGATAATAACAATCAATAACTTTGTTGTTCAATTATATGACAGACACACATAACATATAACATATATTATTTCACTGTTAAATGATTTTGTGGCTATTACAATATCATTTTCTTTTTTAGGAACCAATTCTAACATTCCAGAATGATCATTGTATTTTATCATTTGAATTATTCTGGACACTATTCCAGTAGATGTGTTTATTCATTTAATGATTAACTGTATTGCTTGAGAAAAAATTTTAACAAAAATTAAATTCTCTAAATTTTAAATAAATCTAGTTCCATTCAGAACCTTGAGATGGTGTCTATCACTTGTTTGAAAGGCTGTGGAAAAAGCTCTGAAGTACCTTTCTTATTTATAATCTTGTTAATTTTGAATCCTGAATTGAAACAATTTTATGCTTTTTCAGTTATACTTTTCATCATTGACTGGTATTACTTAAAGTAATCATTCCAATCAGTGAGAACTTTCTTGATATCACTTTAATAAAGTTATCTTTTGATTTTTTTAATAGATAATCATCAAAATGACTTCAGAATCGCCGAACATATAATTTTGGGTAACAAATAATCTTTATTTAAAGATACCAACTCAATGAAAATGTTTTGAGCCATAAAAACTCAAATGCAATGTTAAAATGTAAATAAATAAAGCCTGTTACTTATCAAGGCATATACGTTTTATTTTATACTAATCTATCTCAAGAACAATGAAAAAAAAATTAATGGGTCTTTTGTTGTGTTGACTGAACTTTGTATCTCTCTACCCATTCAGGGAGTGGCCTACCGTAGCTTTCTAAATGTTGTACAATAGTATCAGTAACTTCGCCTAAATTATCTATACAATAAATTCCGGGTACATTCTTGTTGTATTTTAACCATGATGAGCACCACGATTTTTGTGGTTGAAATAGAGCTAAAATTCCGTTGAAAGAGTTGCTTACCCATGAATCAATTTCAGTAGCGGTCCATCCACAGTTTGGACATGTAGTTTCATGCTTCCAGACGTCTCTATCTTGGATCAAGCCACAGCCTATGCAGGCAGCCATAGACCTGGATTTCTTTGGGAGAGTAACTGAACGGTCTTCAGCCATATGAATAAATAATATGTCACTTTTGATATGAAATCATGATAGACATTTTAATGATATTATGACACTGTACATCATGGTGATTCTAAATTTTTATAAAATGTTCAATTGCTCTATTTGTTTTGTGAAAATTGATATCAAACTCAGATTGTACAGCCATTCTACAAATCTCATATTTAAAAATTGTTATGAAGAACATATAAATAAGACAAATTCAATGATTATTTAAATTTCATCTAATTTTTTTATTGACCCCTGTAATCCAGAAGTGCATCTTCTAACTATTAAATATGACCACATTGCAGATCCAAAATATTACTTTTCGCTTAAGAAACACTTAATCTGTTTCAATAAGTTCTATAGCTAAACATAACAATCCATACTATATACACAGATAAGATTTACACTCTTATACATAATTTGATCATCAGATGAAGCAAATTAATGATATAGTTGCTTGACGATACAGGAAGTTTGGTTGAAGGACGTTATTTTTTTTTCTATTTCAAGTTTTGTTTAATTATAAAGAATTCATTAATAAGCAAAAGGAAGATTGGCAAAGAGAGGTTATAGACATCTTCAGACTCTTTGATACAAATTGTGAGGGCCAATTACCTCGCGAAGATGCTGTTCGTGTTTTGGAATTGATTAGCATTCCAGGCAATGAATATTTTCATCCATCAAAGAAAATAGTAGCAATCCAACAACTAATTGATGCTATTACAGAACAAAGAAAAAGTATCGCAGAAAATAGTGAAAAGAGATGGAAATATATTTTCCATCTTATTGCGGGTAATAATGATAGCGACACAATAACTGTTGAAAAATTACAGAAATTCTTTGGTAAATTCGGTCATGTTCCACATGCTCGCTTTTGCGAAGATTTTATCGATGAATTTGATAGGAACTGGCTTACAAAAACAGAAATTACTCTTGATGATTGGTTAATGTTTTGCAAAATTCATAGACTTCCATTCTAATTCCATTTTTGTTCTTTAATTGACCCTCAGTAATTAATGAAGTATCAAATAAGTCCCTTATACCATTTGTTCATGGTATGAATCCATAAATTTAAATACAAACAGAATAATTTCTGAAAATATCGAAATACTTGAAAAAATATGTGTGAATTAGTTGTATAGCTTATGTACAATCCAGCTCAATTAAATATTTGTGTTTATTATATTAAATATTACATTTTTCCACATTTGGAATTGGTATTTTGGAATATATTGATAAGATATTAGAAGAAAAATCAAACCTGAAAGATGTTCTTAATTTAATAAAATATGCAAATAAATTTATTGAAAAATCAATTATAACAGTAAATATGTTATAAACATCATATCATCTCATACAGATATCATAGTGGGTTAGCAGTTTATATAGAAAAGTCTTTTGTAGGGAGTTAAACCAAAGATTTATGAAATTTCGTCCAATAAAACAATATTCTTTCAATTTTTCTCATTTACTAAGAGACCTCGGAAGATATTCGTCTAAAAGTATTCATGATATTGCTCCAATATTCAGATTTTAGAAAAAACAAGATTATCAATTTCATTTCTTAGAAATTTTCTAACAAAGGCCTATGAAGGTCAATCGAGGAATAAACTGTATAGTATGAAATTTCTCATTTTCAAATTGAAGAACTTTGTTTGAATTTAGATGAGGAAAACTTCTTATGCTAGTCAAAAGGAGATCTCCGCATCATTTGGTTCAGAACAAAAGCCATTCGCAATATGTCAAACATGCTTCAGACCAATATACGATGAATATATTGTTCAGTGCACACGATGTCATGGATTTATTCAGTGTTTAGAGTGCTTTTCTGAGGGCGCTGAGAAAGGCTGCCACATCAGAGAGCATCCATTCATTGTTGTGAGAACACAGTTACCAGAAATTTTCTCAAAAGGATGGGCTGGAAATGAAGAAATGAAATTATTGCGCGCAATTGAAGAATCAGGCCTTGGAAATTGGAGAGACATAGCTGTAGATATGAATACCAAAACTCCTGAAGAATGTGAGAATCATTTTTTCTCAACTTATCATTCAGCACTAAATGCTCCAGTTCCTGAACAAAAAGTTAAAGAAGATCCACCAACTCCTGCACCATGGCCTGATGAAGATGCAAAACCCGTCGAATCTCATCCAAGTGACGGTGCAGAAATTATTATGCGTCAAAAGGGACATTATGATAAAGTTACGCCAGCGGAATACAACGGATACATGCCCCGCAGAGGTGAATTCGAAACTGAATTATACGATAACGCCGAGGAACTCATAAATGGAATTAATTTCGACGAAATGCTGACGAAAGAGTACTCATCACCCCAGGAATTGGAAGATGAATTCCAAACCCATATCAACCACCTACAAGCCTATAACACAATCATAGAAGAAAGAGAATATCGACACGAAATTCTCAAAGACTACGGACTTCTCGAAGGTCCTTTCAAAGGATTTAGGAAGAACCCTACAGCTGCTGAACAGGAACAAGAACAAACTCTACTTACGCTTGCTCCTTTCGTAAAATTCCAAAATTTACAAAAAATTACGGAGTTGGTTGATAAAAAAGACCAGCTACAACAGATCATACATGAAAAGGAGTACTGGCAACAGATAGGAATCGATAACGAAAGCCAAGGAAAAGCATTCGACCAATTAACCGAAACTTTTCAAAGATCTCGACAAATTACAGAACAACATGTGAAGACATGGAACTCTCTCGTTGATTCTTTGACTACTTGTGGAGATACTCAGTTGGAATACTTCAAAATGCTTAATTCTGATGAAGCTGATATCTGTAATAAGTTCAATATGCATCCAAAGACTTATTTGAATATAAAAGACCTTCTTTTAAGAGAATTCGATGCAAGATCCGAATTATCTCTTCAAGATGCTATTAATTTCATTCCAGATCAAGCTGAACTAGTAACTTCTATATATAATTACATGAAAACAGCTGGATGGCTGCAATAATAATTTTTATTTTTTATTTGTTTGATTTTATATTAGTCTTATAAAATGTTTGTTATTTTTATGCAAAATATACATGAAAATGTTTTCAGATGTGAACGAGAAAAGTTTTTTTTTTGTAAATAAATTCTTATGAAATGAGATTATGAAAGTAAATTGTAGCAATAAAGTAAGCTATAGTAAAATGATGATAGAGGCATATTGCGCAAAAGAATTAAAAAAATTTTTTGTAATGTGAAAAATGGGGAGGTTTTTTGTGATATGGAAAAATGTTCGTTGCTCAATTATCTCACTATTGGATGGACTTTTATCGAGCGAAATTTTGGCTGTAAAGACAATTCTGATATTGGCAACATGGTGATAAGAACAAATAGTCAGTTTGCGTGGTTTATGATGAGATAATTTCGATTTAAAAAAAAACATAAAAATTGATTTTAATGAGCGATTATATTTGAATATGCTCTCCTAATTTGAAGGAACTGGTTAAATCATGAATTGATCATGAATAATTTTTTTTCAAAATAACAATTATAATTTCATATTCATTATAAGTTGAAAATATATCATAAAGACTTTATGAATGATAAATTCCTAAAAAACAAGTTAGTTTGTTTCTGAAAATAATAATAATAAAAACCAATTTAGACCCAATAATTTTTGGCGGGATAATTGAGATGTTTAACAAAAACTGAAAGGTGTCATTATTATCTATGACCAACAAGCAACTGACCTAGTCTGGATTACAATATTCGGTTCATCAAACCGCCAATTTGATGAATCAAGCCAAATTGTAACTGACCTAGTCTGGATTACAATATTCGGTTCATCAAACCGCCAATTTGATGAATCAAGCCAAATTGTAACAAACCAGTTGTTGATTGCATGGTATTATTCATCGAACTGCCAATTTGATGAATTACATTTCTTAGTCATCAAAATAGTGGTCATGTTGTAAACGAAAACGATAAAAACGGCTTGACAGTAAAGTGACACTTTACATGGCAAAAAATAGAGCCTTACTTTTGAGATACTTGAGATTGAAACTGAATCTTATGAGGCGGTGATCTTGAATCACTACCTCATAAGGTTCAGTTTCATATAAAATTTGTTGCAATTTGTTATTCTTTTGCAATTATTTCTTATAAGATTTTACATCTTTTAGCGGGGAATGTTTGTTATCATGTATATATTATAAATATCTACACGATAACGAACATTCCTCGCTAAATTGCTGAGAAACTTTGAGGAAATGTCGAACAATTTCCTCAAAGTTTCTCAGATTTATATAGATCACTAGAGTCCCCTAGGCACTGATTCTGGTTCAGTACCTAGGAGGCTCTAGTTCTCTAACGAACTGATAAAATGTTTTTAAATTTTTGGATATTGCTACCTGTGAAGCACTGACTTCAAGTCAGTACCTCACAGGTAGCAATTACATTGAAAGATGGGAGAAACTTTGTCCGAATGTTAAACTATTCGGACAAAGTTTCTCCATTTGTAGTGGAGATGGAAGGCTTTGAGGTATATTATATTAATATATACCCCAAAGTCTTCCATCTCCACTTGAAAGTTCCAAAACTTTGGGTTAATAGTTTGCAATTAAAAAGAACTTTCTAGAAGGAATTGCAGGGTAAGAGGTACATATTCATACTATGTACCTCTTACCCTCCAATTCCTTCCTTAACATAAACAAATTTGGAGTTAATTGTTTGCAATTAACTCCGGGTTTGTTGACCTCCAAATGAAAATGAAAGGGTAAGAGGTATATAGTGACCCTATATGCCTCTTACCCTTTCATTCTCATTAATTATGGGAGAAACTTTGGCCGAATGTTAAATTATTCGACCAAAGTTTCTCCCATTTTTTGAAGGGATTGGAGGCTATGAGATACTGATGCAATGTCAGTACCTCATGGCCTCCAATTCCATCCTGAAACTGATCAAATTGGACCTTACATGCATTTGAAATTTGCCATGTAAAGTCCACTTTTTGAGAGAGAGGATTTGACTGCGTCAAATTCTCTTTTTCGTTTACGAGAGTCATGTTACTATTCGTTAGGTTAAATTACTTTTAATGCCCATTCAAGGAAGTACATGTCAGTTACAGGGTTTATAGTTTTACTCGAATTGAGTAAACCTCTTGGAAGCAATTACCACAAGAGCCAAGACTTCTCGTTTACAGACTTTGAAAGCCAGGAAGGAGCCAGGTAACAATAATGGGCTCTCTTATGATATTTTGGGATATTTATCAACAATTTGAGTTTCTACCTATTGTCTTCAATGAGGATTTTTTAGGCCAGAAGTACAATACCTGTACAGTCTAACTACTAGGGCAATGTAGTCAAACTGTGCACGTATTGAACTTCTAAGGCTATTATTTATCTGCTATTGACATCATTCTTTTACATTACCGTCCTCTGGTCCTTAGAGGACCATAGATTCTGAAATTACTTGTGCAGAGCAAAGTTCTTCCGAGATCTCTCTATCCTTCGTAGATCTCGGAAAAACTTTGCCTTAAACTACTGCATTAATGTTTCCTAGTATTCAAAGAGCTATGAATTCTATAGTTGATCTTATAAGGTAGAGTTTTTCCTAACTTTCTCATTCGTTGAAAGGTTTTCAACAAAGCTATACCTTAAAAATCTGTGCTTGTTATATCTGATCATTTGTGTGTTAGGGGAGGTAAATTTATTCCACTAGAGCAAATTTTTTCCGAGGTTTCTCATCGAATGAGAAACCTCGGAACAACTCTTCAATAGTGTAATGAATTTGTGGTATTTGTCCTGCAAACAGCGAGAGAACTTGTCTGTAATTCGTTTATGATGAAGTTATCTGGATGTCTCTCAGATGAGGAAGGAAGTCCAGAAAACTTCACCATAAGTTAATACTTGTGTATTTCTATGACTCTCTTCACGTCAGAGAATGTAAATTTACTCGAATAGGGCAAAGTTCTGCTCAAGTTTCTCATTTGATGAGAAACCTCGGAAGAACTTTGCCCTAAGGTAATGTATATGTGATTGTTGGCCCGCAGAGAAACAAGGAATCTGTTTGTATTTCGTTTATGGTGAAGTTCTCGGATGTTCTCTCAAATTATATGGAAAATCAAGATAACTTCACCATAATTTGTTGTAGTTGTGATTCTCTGGCTCTTTGCCGGCCAGAAAACTAGAAAATAGTTTATAGTGGGAGTATGCTCGATGAATACCTACTCACTAAAAATATACGTTATTTTTTGTTTTCCTATGGGAAAATAGTTTTGATTTTTATACTATCGTATGCTTTGTTATTGCATGAATTGTCTATTTTCTTAATAAAAACTCATTTTTCCGTGTGATTCTGAATCAATGCATTCCAAAAAAGCGTTTTCCGAGTAGGTGCCAAAAGTGCTTACTCTTAAACAACCGTCGGATTTCCGGGTGAAATCGTGACACACTTTCGTCTTTCGTAGGCGGTGGTGGTTGTTACAAAAGGTAACTTCGAATGTAGCGTGAAATCTGCAAAAAAAATTCTGAAATTTGAATGGAGAACACAAAAATTGAATAGTTTACGTCAATAAAAAAGAGAAAAATGAAGTCAATGTGTCTCGAACCTAGGACTTAGAGCAGCAATCACAATGTTTATCTCATTACACTACATGCATCTCTCACCTCAGTCAATGAGGTCAAGTATATGATAACTTTTTCCCCATTATATTCTTGTGGAAAAGTGACAAATAGCAACTTTGACCCTCTCTCAGCGTTTTCCGCCTTTGAAACGTGAAAACACACATTGCATGAAGAATCAGAGAAGATTTTCTAACTCGAAGAATTCCAAAAAAAACCAATTATAGTTTTTTTATCGTGAAAAATTTACTTTTTAACTACGAAATTTTTAAAACGCGATTTTTTTGGAGATTTTTAGAAAATTCAAATATGATAGGCATGTGTTATTTTATGTGCTCTATGAGCTTATCAGCTTAATTTGGAGTTATTATCAAATTTCAATAAGTCTAAAAAATTGAAAGATAGAAAATCTTCTCTGATTCTTCATGCAATGTGTGTTTTCACGTTTCAAAGGCGGAAAACGCTTTTTTGGAATGCATTGATTCAGAATCACACGGAAAAATGAGTTTTTATTAAGAAAATAGACAATTCATGCAATAACAAAGCATACGATAGTATAAAAATCAAAACTATTTTCCCATAGGAAAACAAAAAATAACGTATATTTTTAGTGAGTAGGTATTCATCGAGCATACTCCCACTATAAACTATTTTCTAGTTTTCTGGCCGGCAAAGAGCCAGAGAATCACAACTACAACAAATTATGGTGAAGTTATCTTGATTTTCCATATAATTTGAGAGAACATCCGAGAACTTCACCATAAACGAAATACAAACAGATTCCTTGTTTCTCTGCGGGCCAACAATCACATATACATTACCTTAGGGCAAAGTTCTTCCGAGGTTTCTCATCAAATGAGAAACTTGAGCAGAACTTTGCCCTATTCGAGTAAATTTACATTCTCTGACGTGAAGAGAGTCATAGAAATACACAAGTATTAACTTATGGTGAAGTTTTCTGGACTTCCTTCCTCATCTGAGAGACATCCAGATAACTTCATCATAAACGAATTACAGACAAGTTCTCTCGCTGTTTGCAGGACAAATACCACAAATTCATTACACTATTGAAGAGTTGTTCCGAGGTTTCTCATCGAATGAGAAACCTCGGAAAAAATTTGCTCTAGTGGAATAAATTTACCTCCCCTAACACACAAATGATCAGATATAACAAGCACAGATTTTTAAGGTATAGCTTTGTTGAAAACCTTTCAAATAAAGAGAAATTTAAGGAGAAATTTGCCCGTTTGATGTATGGTGAGAAGCATATTTGAGAGTTTGGAGAGGCAAAGTGCAATCACCTATCAATATTGCACTTTGCTTGTAAAAAGTTCTTCGCATCTCTTGAGGTGTGAGGAAGTTTCTCGACAGAGGAAACTTTCATATCGAATGTTGCCTCTGTCGAGATGTATGTGACAGGCAAAGTGCAATCACCTATCAATATTGCACTTTGCCTGTCAAAAGTTCTTCGCATCTCTTGAGGTGTGAGGAAGTTTCTCGACAGAGGAAACTTTCATATCGAATGTTGCCTCTGTCGAGATGTATGTGACAGGCAAAGTGCAATCACCTATCAATATTGCACTTTGCCTGTCAAAAGTTCTTCGCATCTCTTGAGGTGTGAGGAAGTTTCTCGACAGAGGAAACTTTCATATCGAATGTTGCCTCTGTCGAGATGTATGTGACAGGCAAAGTGCAATCACCTATCAATATTGCACTTTGCCTGTCAAAAGTTCTTCGCATCTCTTGAGGTGTGAGGAAGTTTCTCGACAGAGGAAACTTTCATATCGAATGTTGCCTCTGTCGAGATGTATGTGACAGGCAAAGTGCAATCACCTATCAATATTGCACTTTGCCTGTCAAAAGTTCTTCGCATCTCTTGAGGTGTGAGGAAGTTTCTCGACAGAGGAAACTTTCATATCGAATGTTGCCTCTGTCGAGATGTATGTGACAGGCAAAGTGCAATCACCTATCAATATTGCACTTTGCCTGTCAAAAGTTCTTCGCATCTCTTGAGGTGTGAGGAAGTTTCTCGACAGAGGAAACTTTCATATCGAATGTTGCCTCTGTCGAGATGTATGTGACAGGCAGAGTGCAATCACCTATCAATATTGCACTTTGCCTGTCAAAAGTTCTTCGCATCTCTTGAGGTGTGAGGAAGTTTCTCGACAGAGGAAACTTTCATATCGAATGTTGCCTCTGTCGAGATGTATGTGACAGGCAAAGTGCAATCACCTATCAATATTGCACTTTGCCTGTCAAAAGTTCTTCGCATCTCTTGAGGTGTGAGGAAGTTTCTCGACAGAGGAAACTTTCATATCGAATGTTGCCTCTGTCGAGATGTATGTGACAGGCAGAGTGCAATCACCTATCAATATTGCACTTTGCCTGTCAAAAGTTCTTCGCATCTCTTGAGGTGTGAGGAAGTTTCTCGACAGAGGAAACTTTCATATCGAATGTTGCCTCTCTCGAGATGTATTACAAATAAAAAAGAATTCCATCCCAATTACACTCTATAATACAACACTATCAATATGATCAAATCACCTCAATATTAAAAAAATTTTTTTCTGAGTTCTGATGAGTTGGTTGAGGAAGATCTGAGTTCTGATGAGTTGGTTGAGGAAGATCTGAGTTCTGATGAGTTGGTTGAGGAAGATCTGAGTTCTGATGAGTTGGTTGAGGAAGATCTGAGTTCTGATGAGTTGGTTGAGAGAGATCTGAGTTCTGATGAGTTGGTTGAGGAAGATCTGAGTTCTGATGAATTGGTTGAGGGAGATTTGAATTGGTTGAGGGAGATTTGAATTGATTGATAGGTGATTGCACTTTGCCTGTCACATACATCTCGACAGAGGCAACATTCGATATGAAAGTTTCCTCTGTCGAGAAACTTCCTCACACCTCAAGAGATGCGAAGAACTTTTGACAGGCAAAGTGCAATATTGATAGGTGATTGCACTCTGCCTGTCACATACATCTCGACAGAGGCAACATTCGATATGAAAGTTTCCTCTGTCGAGAAACTTCCTCACACCTCAAGAGATGCGAAGAACTTTTGACAGGCAAAGTGCAATATTGATAGGTGATTGCACTTTGCCTGTCACATACATCTCGACAGAGGCAACATTCGATATGAAAGTTTCCTCTGTCGAGAAACTTCCTCACACCTCAAGAGATGCGAAGAACTTTTGACAGGCAAAGTGCAATATTGATAGGTGATTGCACTTTGCCTGTCACATACATCTCGACAGAGGCAACATTCGATATGAAAGTTTCCTCTGTCGAGAAACTTCCTCACACCTCAAGAGATGCGAAGAACTTTTGACAGGCAAAGTGCAATATTGATAGGTGATTGCACTTTGCCTGTCACATACATCTCGACAGAGGCAACATTCGATATGAAAGTTTCCTCTGTCGAGAAACTTCCTCACACCTCAAGAGATGCGAAGAACTTTTGACAGGCAAAGTGCAATATTGATAGGTGATTGCACTTTGCCTGTCACATACATCTCGACAGAGGCAACATTCGATATGAAAGTTTCCTCTGTCGAGAAACTTCCTCACACCTCAAGAGATGCGAAGAACTTTTGACAGGCAAAGTGCAATATTGATAGGTGATTGCACTTTGCCTGTCACATACATCTCGACAGAGGCAACATTCGATATGAAAGTTTCCTCTGTCGAGAAACTTCCTCACACCTCAAGAGATGCGAAGAACTTTTGACAGGCAAAGTGCAATATTGATAGGTGATTGCACTCTGCCTGTCACATACATCTCGACAGAGGCAACATTCGATATGAAAGTTTCCTCTGTCGAGAAACTTCCTCGAAACTCCAATTTTTCTTTAGAACTACAATATCTTAACAATTAGCTCATCAAAACACAACCTATAAACTTTAATTTTTACTTTTGTTTTTTTCAATATATGAACTAATTTTTTTTTTTCAAATTACTCCCACACTGGGAAAAGTATTTTAACTCAGATGTTGCCAGCCTCTTCATCATTGCATTAACAAGTGCTTTGACTCAGAGGTTGCCAACCTCTTCATCATTGCATTAACAAGTGCTTTGACTCAGAGGTTGCCAGCCTCTTCATCATTGCATTAACAAGTGCTTTGACTCAGAGGTTGCCAGCCTCTTCATCATTGTAAAAATGTATTACCGCTTTTTTTTTAATTCAATCGTAACATCTCAATTATCCCGCCAAAAATTATTGGGTCTAAATTGGTTTTTATTATTATTATTTTCAGAAACAAACTAACTTGTTTTTTAGGAATTTATCATTCATAAAGTCTTTATGATATATTTTCAACTTATAATGAATATGAAATTATAATTGTTATTTTGAAAAAAAATTATTCATGATCAATTCATGATTTAACCAGTTCCTTCAAATTAGGAGAGCATATTCAAATATAATCGCTCATTAAAATCAATTTTTATGTTTTTTTTTAAATCGAAATTATCTCATCATAAACCATGCAAACTGACTATTTGTTCTTATCACCATGTTACCAATATCAGAATTGTCTTTACAGCCAAAATTTCGCTCGATAAAAGTCCATCCAATAGTGAGATAATTGAGCAACGAACATTTTTCCATATCACAAAAACCTCCGCCGTGAAAAATATACAAACAATAGTTTAAACGTTTCATGAGATTAATTGGGATGAATCATATAATTAAGCAGCATTTTGATTTTTCAACTTCGTTCTTTTCTTCGACATTCGGATTTGTAGTTTGTTGATTTTGAGGAAGCTCTGGATTTAATCCAATTTCTCCGCTTACAATTGGTACAAAGCCTTCTTCTTGCGGTTCGTCACTCATTAGTTCGATTTTTGAAGATGGATCTGGTTTTTTCTTTTCTTCTTCGTGAGATTTATTTTGTTTTAGAGAAGAAGATTCGCTTGAGCTCTCTTCCACTTCCTCTATGACTTCTACAGGCTCGTCTTCAATTTTGAGTCTTTCTTCAGTCATTTTTTTTCCCCAATTTTTAAGGGTCCATTGTAAAAATTGAAAGTCTCTCAAAATTGAGAGGCGATTTGCAATTAATCGTTATCGTCTTTTTTCGAAAATCCACTTTTCCTAGTGTTCTGATTAATATTTTGTGAATGTAACAATGAAGTATATGTTTTAGTAAGATGATAATATATTCTATCACTTCAAATCACATAAAAATTGCAAAATCAGCGAGTATTATAAGAAAATGATTTTTTCGAATTTTTTCGCTTCTGGATGCGTGTTTTGAAAAATAGATATTTTCGAATTTTGATTTTAATTTAAGTATAAATTTTATATTAGGAATTTTTTGACCTATTTCCAATCATTAATTCCTAAGTTTTTCTAGGAATTTAATTGAGAAGAAATTAGGAAATTCGCTTTAATGCCATTACATCCTAATATTGTGATGCATGTAGTTTATATTTATTGAGGCTAATGCCGGAATATCGTGCATTTTATAAAAAATTCAAAGAATTGACAATTGGATAGCACAAATTTAATTCTCTAGACAAAGTATTATTGTTTATATATTCAAAGCATTATCCTTAGTTTTGAAATGTTGGACAAAAATTTTCGTGTTATTTTTTGTGTTTCAGCATAAATTATGTATTGACTTATGAAAGATAAGCATTTTATTCATTATCATAAAGATATACCAAAACAAATTGATAAAATTTTAAAAAAATGTGTATTTTAGTGGGTATTATTCTGGCTAATGCCCATTTCTAAACGATTTAATATTGACCATATCAATAGACGACTCAATGTAAAAATTTAGATATTATTTTTTTTCATTATTCAAACTTTGATAAATTTTAGTATAATGAATGATTTTGTTTCGTGTATGATACAGAAATGAAAAGCTTAATTAATATCATTTTGCATTTTTTCAAGAATGTTAGAGTACATCTACATTAAAAAATCGGATTCGAATTGCAATACTGCATCAAATTGTTGCACATCTGATAAGGATCTCAAAAGAGTAAAGTTAATTTTTTGTGTTTTTTAAGTTTTGGGCCTTAGTAAAAACACCCTCTTGAGCAATATTTTTGAGACGACGATAGGCCTTATTTGGCCTTACAGTGGACCCTTAAAAAACAAATTTTATTAGAAATAATGTTGAAATTATCTGAGCATAAAAGAAAACAATAGGAGCCTATGGGGCTTCAATACAGAATCAGTGATTTGTAGGTTCATATGCCTAATATGAAGTTCGATGCATTTGTGCCAAAGTTTTTCAACTTTCTTGAGAAAATTAAAGGATGAGAGATATATGGTATATCTATATTTAATTCCAACTCTAAAAAGGTATAACATACAAGTAAAATTTCTCCCATTTAGGGATGGAATAGGAGTCTACGAGGAACCAATATAGAATCAGTGCTTTTTATGCTCCTATTGTTAATAGAAAGTTCGAAAATTTTGTTGCAAATGCTTCTGATTTGAATCGTTGGAGATTAACCAATGAATTTTCTATATTTTTGACTTTGTAAAATTCGAAATGTATTATCCTTAATCAGGGCAACATTTCAATCTGTCTAAAATTAAATTGTTTTATTAAAAAATAAACTAGTATAATGTAAAATAATATAAATGATTAATGCCTGCTACGACGGAATGATCTTCTCATTCCTGGGCGATTTTCACGCTTCGGCTTTATATTCAAATTACGTCCACTAAATAGATGATTATTAAGACTATCTATTGCTAACTGAGCAGCTTCTTTTGAATCAAATTCAATATATGCATATTTAGGAGCGTGTGGATTTTGCTTTGTAGGGATTGTCAACTTTTTAATTTTACCACAGCAGCTAAAATGGTTTTCGAGCTTTTCTTGCGTTACCGAAGCATCAAGATTACCTACCCAAATTGAATTTTCATCTTTTGGTTTTTCAACTTCAGCATTTTCTGCTTCTGCGGTGTTTTGAGCTTGTGGAACAACAGGAACTATTGGAGCTTGATCCTCTTCCTTTTTATTATTTTGAACAATTGCGTCCAATCTCTTACGGAGCTCAGCAATTGCGTCAGCCATTTATTGGCGGGATATTTGAAACACACTCTTTCAATTTTTAAAATCATTTTCGCTTTTGCTGATAAAATGCCTAATCTCATTCACTTTGAATATCCAGGACTTCAAAATAGCATTAGATAGAGGTGTTCTAAATTCTCCTTGTGATCTAAAATAAAAAATGAAACAGATGAGTTAAATCATGTCAAGAACAATTCGTTGGCATTTTCAAAGCAATAATTTGTGAAACGGATGAGATAGTATATCATCTAAAGAACAAAAAATGATATATCACAATTGATTGCAAATTTAGTTTTGAAATAACAGCTGATGTGAGATCAATTTTAATGTCCAAGCCATATGTTTGAAAATTCAAAATCAGGAAATTGTATTTGATAGCACGTTATTCAAGAATAAAGATATTGATTATCTGCAATACACTTTGAGGATGAATTCTTTTGTACAAATGGATCAAAAGCAATTTTCGTGTGATCTGTTGTTTCAACAATAATAAATTATGAATATCAAATACATACGAATTAATAATATAGTATTTACATGAACACAATGAGTTTTAATGAGCATAGGTCAGTAATTCACAATCTGAAGTTTTACGAAGTTCCAAAACCTTGATAATTTTAAGGATTTTGAAGAAAGTTTTTTAGCTTTCTCGTGGGACTTGCTCCTTATGAGGTATATCGTGACAACATATACCTCATAAGGAACAATTCCCTACCAGAATCGAGAAACATTGTTCTAAATGTCAAAGAATGTCGAAAAAGTTTTCTTGTTTTTGGTAAGAAACCAAAGGATGTTGGTTACTTATAATATGCTTGTGCCTCACAGCCTTTGGTTTCCTATTTATATAGAATTGTTTGTTGATCGACTGAAATCTTTCTTTTCATAGCAATCATCAATTTATTTCACCATAATGGTCTCATCAAAATAGATAAACAACTTCAAATAAGATATTATTTATCGAATGATAGAACTTTACATATTTCAAGTTTAATTATGACAACATTACCTTTTTTAGTCCTAAATGATAACACAAAATTAATACATATTTAAATAAAATATAAAATATAAAATTAAACTTCTTGGTTAAATCCTGGGAACATAGCGCAAACATAGTATTTCTTTTCGTCGTTATAAAGATCAAGCCAAACAAAGCCCTGATCAAGTAATGTTTGAAGTGCCGCTTCAAAACGCTTTTGAGACATTCCACTTGCATCTTTCTCAGTGAAATATCCCTTGCCTTCTGCCAAAGCAAGAAGTGTTGTCTGGTCTTCGTCGATATCAAAAGATGTTGTCTTCATGAACTTCTTTTTACCAATTTCGACAATACAGTAGCCCGATCCCAAAACCTTGAGATTTTTAAGAGCTTGTTCAATGTCTTTTGTATTCATCTTTGGTGGATTTTTATATGTTGCTTGAACTTGTTTCAAAACGTCTTCTATAGGAAGAATGCCACCGTTAGCTTTCTTTTGCTTTAAGCAAACATCAATAACTTTGATAGATAATTCGTGATAAAAATCGCCGACACCAAGAATTGAAGACCAAAAGCCTTTTGTAGATTGAAGAGGATCGACACCAAGGTTAAGACACATGTTATTAAAACTTGATCTGAACTCTGGATCATCTTTAAGATCCTTCTTATGGTTGATAGCGAATTTTTCAAGGGCTTCCTTAAAAACTCTCATTTGTTCTTTAGCTGCTTCATTTCTAGTATTTTCGATAAGATCACGAGCTTGTTCGAGATATTCTGCACGAGCTTGATTCGCTTGGATAGCGCCTAAACCTTGCATTTTTTATTGATGTTGATTTCACCGGACTGTCACTTTTGTTATAAAAGTGACACTATCATGATAGAAAATTACTATCTAAATATAGACAAACAGGGCAAAAAGTGTAAACCTCGTTATTTAGGAGCCAATATTAATATCATTAGTATACCAAATGTTCTTGAACGAAGGATCCGCTAGATATGTAGCAAACAATATGGCTGTTATGCTTTCCTGCTATGAAAATAAAGATATATCGATTTTTTATGATCATGTCAGGAAGTGGTAAGTGCACCCTTAAGAAAAAGTACAAAAATTTATTTTGCTAACAGATGACTTCTTTTAGTTACTTTTGAGCATGACTATTGATTTCACTGATATATTTCTGTTTGTATTGATTTGAAAATTCAATTCATTATCACCAAAGTATTGGAACAAAATTGTATTAAAGCATGGCATTATCTAATTAATATCTTTTCTATGAAACACATTTGCAAATACAATCTATATTATTAAATTTTATATAACTAATCTAATTAAAATCTAATCTAAAATAAGATAAAACATGTCAAAAAAATAATAGTGTACCATAAATCTCAAACAATCTGCATTAGATTCCAGTTCTATGTCTCTTATGATCGCGATGCTTCCGAGATTCCCTTTCAGAGTTATCATCGCGAGACTTTCTACTTCTTTCCTTTTCTTCATAATATCTGCTGTCTTCGTAGCGTCTTCTTTCATCGCGATCACGATGATGGTTATGTCTTTCATGTCTTTGTTCACTTGATTTGTGGTGAGAAGAGTGTGGTGTAGGATCTCTTGTAGTTTCTGATGATGCTTTATGCGTGTCTTTTGGATCTTGAGGTGGTAAAATTTGTTCTTGTGGAGGCCGGTATAATTCGATTGGAGGTGGCTTTGGAATTGTAATTTGTGGTGGATCTTGTGGTGTTTTTGGCCTTGGAACGTGAATTGCGTTTGGATCGGAAGACATTTGAGATCTTCTTGGATATTTAACGTAAGCTGGAGGTTCTAAGCCTTCTTCTCGACCAATGATATCATCTTGTTCTTCATATAATAAGTTCTTTCGGACTCTTTGAAATTCTGATTCTTCAAATTGCGTTACAACAAGGATTTTATCACCAAATCTCTTTCCATGTAATGATCTTATTGCTAATTGTGCTGATTCTTTTCGTGCATATTGAATGAAAATTTTATCTTTTCGAAAACCTCCTTTTGTTGTTGCAATATCTATATCAATAATACTTCCATACTTGCAAAAAGTGTCCTTGATTTCCTTTTCACTCATTCTTTCATCAAGATGCTGCACAACTATTCGAGATTGATTTGCATCACTCAGCATCTTTTGAAATGTTTTGATATTTAAAAGAATAATTCATAATGACATAAACAATTACTATCAAATTTTAGTGCAAATGAAATTCACTATGTAATATGGAATTAAATTCGCTGAAATTATAAGATATAAACTTTTAAGTAGAAGAAATGATATTGGTAGAAGATTGTGAGATAAGGCTATTATGAGTATTTAAAATATATCGTATTTTTTATATTTGGAATTTTATGTAAAACGAAAATATAAGATGAGAGTAAGGATATGGTTGGTAGTGTATGGGTTGTTAATGAGTTCATTGTAAGTAAATGAAAATAAACAAATGTAAAAAATATAAAATTTTTATTATTAATTTTAGAAATTGTATTTGTAGGTGTGTTATTATTTTGGGGGTGTATTGCCATTTCATAATTTGAGGTGGCCATATTCCTCAAAAAATGTTGGGAACAAAAGGAAAGCGAGATATGAGAAATTGGGAAAATTAACGTATATAAATAAAAGTGCCGAGAACCATTCAATTGGTCATAGGATATTTTGAGAGGACTTTTCAAAGAACAAAAAAGTGAGGCCCTAATTTTTCAGGTTTATAAAGGGCTCGCGTGTTATTGGCGTGTTGACGTAAAGTACTCAATATTGAATACTTTATGGCGTCACATGCCAAAAAATTCAATACCGAGGCGTCATAATTTACAAAGTAATTTACTTGTCAGATTTTTATTGTTTTATCTTTTCACTCCTTCGGGCGCCAGGGAGCCCCTTCCCGGTCTATCTGGGACAATTTGGTTCTCATTGCGAGTGTCTGCTGCGAATCTCGGCCAGAGCAGCAGACACTCACAATTGTAGGTCGCAGTAAGTGCTCCTGCTGTGCCAGAATGCACTTGCCGCGACATTTGCTTAATGCAAAGATGATGCCGGAAGGAGCGGTAATTCTGGTAAGAGCCACTCCTTCCGGCGCCAGAAAGACCAGAAATGGAATTAGGCATTAGCCAGTATTTCCCAGGGAATTACTATCGCTGACAAGAGAAAAAAAATTGACACTTTATATGTGACACGGCCCTTCTCAATTTTCGCCAATATGACGCGAGGTTTATTCAAAATTGAGAAGTTTACACTAAAAATTGAATAGTTTACGTGACACGCCACTGTGACGCCAATTTTTCACTAGCCCTAATTTTTCGGGAACAGGACAAATTTGCCACACGGCACTTTTTTAAAAAAATTAATGGAGCGGAGCGATACTCTGCTGCAGGAACCCCAAGGCTCCCAATCATTACGAAAGGGAGCCTCAGGGCTCCTGAGAAACCATCAGCAGAGGCCTTTTCATTTGGCCTCTGCTGATCAAAGATTCGGCGAAGCCATTCTTCGTCTCAGGAGCCCCAAGGCTCCCAATCATTACGAAAGGGAGCCTCAGGGCTCCTGAGAAACCTCTTTGAGAAGGTTTTCTTAAAGAAAACCTTCTCAAAGATGATTGTCAGCATTCACTCAAAATCTACCAAGAGTTTCAAAGTTTCAAATCTATCTGAAATGAAGCTTTGAATCTCTTGTATATCTAATTGTAGAGGTACCTTTTCAAAAATGTCTTCTATTGATTAAATTTAATCAGTAAAAGTCATTTTGAAAAGGTACATCTCTATAATTGCTATTGAGCATTCACTCTTGGAACCTTGGAGCTCTTGTGTAGTGCATGAAAACTCCAAGATTCTAGCATAAAACATATATCATAGACATAATTTCTTCAAATATAATTTAAGGTTATTTTAAAAAATTAGAAAAGCGTAATTTAAGGTTATTGAAAAAGTGACACTTGGCAAATTTGTCCCGCACTCTAATTTTTCCACGGTTAACCTTTATTTCGTGAAATGTAGAAATAGAATCAAATATGTGATAAAATGCAATAAATATTAAGCCAAAAAATTATATAAATAAACTTCTCAATCTGGAAAAAGAGTCATTTTGTTTTGCGCGAAAATACGAATCTGTACTTGCGAGTGGTCTCAGAAGTAGGGACAACTTTTTTAGGAAAGAAGTTTGGCATTGTTGGGGCTAGGAAGCCTTCAGGCAAGTTAAGAACTGCTTCCCGTAAAGGTTTAGCTTTCACGACATTCTCGAACTCGTAACTCATTGTAGAAAATGAAAATAAAATGGCGGGGATTTTAAATAAATTAATGTTTAATAATATAGATAGAATGTTTCTTTATGCATCTTTTTTATATATTGACAAAAAATTAATGGTCTCACGTAAATCATTCAATTTTGTGGAGTTAAAACATAAAATTCAATGAGATATTATCGTTATCGTTCAAAAAAATCTACTCTCCCGCTTCTCTTCTTTTGCGTTCCCCTTTTTATTTAGAGAGGCCTCGAGTGGGAAGAAATGGGGAAGAGAAGAGAAGTAGGAGCTCGAGGTCTCTATTTTATATAAAATAAAATTTACAAAATTGTCAGCCTTCACTGCTGTGAAAGCCGTCGCGACGGGCAGTTTTAGTAATATATGCGTTTTGAACTCCAAATTGCAATTATTAAAAAATCTTTTCGCATAAAATTACAAGAAATTGATAGAAATTGAACGGCTTTCATTTTTGTGAAAGCCGTCGCGACGGGCGGTTTTAGTAATAGCAATTCTATAAAGTTTTTTCGTTTTGTTGCATTAAAAATTATTTTTGTGAAAGTTTGTTTGGTCTAATTCATTTTTAGGTTTCACTCATGCCATTCCCGTAAAATCACGTTGATTAATAGAATTAACATGTTCACCAATTGGATAAGAATAGAACCACTTTCAAAAGTGATTTTTTCCATGAATTGAGCACCTCAAAAGTTAGTTGATCCAGAATACTGCAGCATACTGTAGCATGTTATTTTGGTATGTCTCTTATGCTTACGATGAAACATTCTAACTTTTCAATAGAATATTACTCAAAATTGTACTCGAATCAAGTCAAAAGAGTATATAAGAATTTCCGAAAAAGTGACACACAAAAAGTGACACTTTCAATAGGGGGTAACACTTAAAAAGTGACAATTTAAAATTCACAATAAATAAAAATAATAAATTTTTTAGTCTATTATTTTCCATATTAAGTTCTGTCAAAATGTAAGCTATTCAATTCTATCGTCGGGGGAAGTATCACAAATCTATCAATTTTTTTTGTAAAAGTATACAAAAACATATGGTGTTCAATTAGTTTATAATAATATAAATATTAAGATTATCCAAAATAAGAAAAACTAGGTTTTGAGAACACTTTTGAGATGATAATCAAAATATTTTGATTGAAAAATAATATATTATGTATCAGATATAGAATGGATTTTTTCAAATTTAAAAATTCTGAAAAATAAACAGTTTTGTAAAGTAAAAAAATGAACGAAAACTCGAGACCTCGTATTCCAAATGAATGGGTAAGATATATGTATGAAAAACTTGAAAGTGGTGAGTAAGGATGTCAATTTGGAAGAAAAGTGAGAAAATTCCTAAAATGCTAAAAATGAATTTTCCAAACGTATTTTTTTATCTCATTTTTTTGATTTTGAAAAAAATTTGGAGAGAAGAACTCTTCGTTTTTGAATTTTATCACGATGGTTTTAAAGTATATTAGACACATGTATTGATATTACTATTTTTGTATATTTTGAGAGAAAATCCCTAAAAAGTGAGAAAATCTAAGACGGTTTGAGAAAATATATAAACTATTGAAAATTTGAATTAAACTTCTAATTTGGAAAAAAGAAATTTGGAAAGAAGAAAATTCAAAAATCGAGATTTAGACTCAGCATCAAATGGAGAACAAAATGTTTCTTCATATGAAGGAAAAAAATTTTCTTGTGAAGAAATAGAGTTTTGAAAATTTTATTGTATGTAATGAAATAAACAAATATTAAAATTATTTTTTGATAACAAGAAAATTCCCAATAGAAAATTGTTATAGACCGAAAATAGATTTTTTCGGTTTTCTCTTCAAATAATTGAAAGAATGATACTATTATAGGTTTATTATATTATATAGCATATAATCATGCTATAGCCGAAAATTATAAGTTTTGAGAAGATTGAATATAACACAAATAAATTTGAATGTAGGTTAAATTGCTTGTTGTTTTTAATATCTATTTAATGAGAAATCCAATATTGCAAAATTCAAATTGAATGATTGAAAGAACAGAAAAAGTCATTCTTTTCAATTTCGAATATGTTTCATTGTATTTATAATTATATGGCAAATAAGATATTTAAACTTGATTTTTGAAGGAAAATTCACAAAATTGAATAAATTCAAATAATTTTTATTCAAAAATAAACTAGTTATTTGAGTTTAATACAAATTATCTATTCAAACTACAAAGTTTGTAATTTAAAATATTTTGTGAGATCAGATTGAATTAATTCAAGGTTCTTTTCAATTAATATTCATGACCATATTACGCATTTTCGAACATTCTAAACCAAATATATAAAAATGGGAGACGAATGTTAAATTTGCTAGACATGGGGGAGTTGTCTGCAAAGTTTTAGCTCTTATCTCTAACAAAAAATTAATTTTTAAAAAAAAAGACCGAATACGTTTCACAGCGAGAAAAAAATAAAAGGCAAGATAGAATTTTCTAGACATAAAGAAGTTGTTTACCGAGTTTTAGCTCTTATCTCTAACAAAAAATTAATTTTTAAAAAAATGACCGAATACGTTTCACAGCGAGAAAAAAATAAAAGGCAAGATAGAATTTTCTAGACATAAAGAAGTTGTTTACCGAGTTTTAGCTCTTATCTCTAACAAAAAATTAATTTTTAAAAAAAGACCGAATACGTTTCACAGCGAGAAAAAAATAAAAGGCAAGATAGAATTTTCTAGACATAAAGAAGTTGTTTACCGAGTTTTAGCTCTTATCTCTAACAAAAAATTAATTTTTAAAAAAATGACCGAATACGTTTCACAGCGAGAAAAAAATAAAACTGTACACTGATTTTAATTTTCATTTCCAGTCACTTTACTTATTATTTTTTCTTTTTTTCATTT